GCCGGGTCCGGTGTGAGGGGCTGTGGGGAGGAGGAGGAGGAGGGTCCTCAAAGCGCCGTGTCTCCCGCAGGCAGAGGCGGAGGCGTCTGCCCGCCCTCCCCCAGTGGAGCAACGCTCAGATCTCGGACCATTACAGCACCTGCATCAAGCTCTCCGCCGAGAACGTGAGTGGGCGGCCTACGGGAGGGCTCCTGAGCCCGGCCTCTGCTCGCACCACCGTGAGGGGGCCGTGGTTGCAAAGCCGGGAGGGTTTTTAAACTGCTTGAGCCTTGGCTAGGCCGTTATTCTTTTTCTGAGCCCTCTGAGGCACGTCCCTGATTCAACACACATCCCTCATCCGACACACGTCCCTCATCCGAGTCACGTCCAGATCTGGGCTTCTGTTGCTGCCTTTCCCAGCAGTAACAAAGTAGGATGTGATGCGGACGCATCATAGAATCGCCTCGGTTGAAAGGGACCTTTAAGATCATTAAGTCCAACCATTAACCTAACACTGCCAAAACCACCACTAAACCACGTCCCTCAGCACCATATCTGCGCTGCTTGTAAATACCTCCAGGGATGGCAACTCCACCACTTCCCTGGGCAGCCTATTCCAATGCTTGACGGCCCTTTTGGCAAAGAATTTTTTCCTAATATCCATCCTATCCTGTAAATACCCCGTGGGATGAGGGTTCAGACAGTTTTGACAGGTGCCATTTGCCGGGGGATCAGTTCTGAGCCATCTGCTGTGTTTCAGAAAATCACCACGAAGAATGCCTTTGGCTTACACCTGATAGACTATATGACCGAGATCCTGAAAGAGAAGGAATCTGAACTCACTAACTTCAAGGTGAGAGGAATCGCTGTGGGGTCATGGTGGTGCTTTGTTTCCGACTGGCATTTAGCCTGAGGTTTAATGACTAACAAACCTCAAATAATGATAAGGTAACTGAGCTGGTTATTTCCACTAAAAATATCTGGTAGAGGCAGCACAGTCACTTTTTGCAGAAGCTTACAGTGTTGAATGCTTTCGTATCACAGAAACTAAAGGCCGAATTCTTTCAGTTATGGTCCTTCAAAAGGAAAGCTTGTTTAAAAGCAAGACTTGCGAGGCTTCTGAGGTAAATATTGAGTGTTACAACCAGTAACAATACAGCACTGTAAAAGAAAGGAAGTTAGTGTGGCTAACTCCCAGACTATTTTTGATCCGGGATGGATCAGAATAAGAACTTGCCAGGGCAAAGACTTACTCGTTGTAATAGTTTACTGATGCTAGGAGGGAATTCTTGGATGAATGAACAAATGAACGTGGCCCCGAGGAACCTCTGAGCTAGCTGTCTTATGGTTGATGACACTGAGGAAGGGATGGGAAACAGTGCACGGGTTTTCAGTGGGTGATCCTTCACCTTCCTGGGGGCATCCGTGGTTGAAAAGGGCACTTGGCATCTTCTGTGCTTCACCTCTTTTGACTTTGTAATTTGAGAAAATACAATGATACCAAGAGGATGACCCAAAAGAAGGCATGAAGGAGAGGTGGAGGAGAGAAGTCTTTTGGTAGATACAAATTTGCACCCTTCTGCTTGTCCCTGCTGCATAATCTTGGCAACTTTTACGTATCTTCTGTGTGATCCCTTCCAAAAAACCTGATAAAGAAACCTATAGGCTCTGCCAGGGAAGATACATCTTGACCCATGCTGTGCACCCAGGTCTCCAGTGGGTTTCAGAATAAGTCCTTTTCCAGTTTTTCATAATTTTGCTTGTAATACAGAGCATTCAGAAATTCAGGTCTGCAGCTTGTCTTCTGTGTTTGCATCTTCTAGATGAGACTTTTTCATTTCTAACTAAAAATTGCGTCCTTTGTTCCTCCTGTCAGATAGCAGCTGGCACGCTTGATGCCAGCGCGAAGATCTATGCCGTGCGTGTGGATGCGGTCCATGCAGATGCCTACAAAGTTCTTGGAGGCTTGGGCAAGGACTCGTCACCTAAGAAAAACGTGGATGGCCCAGAAGGAGGTGTGCCATTCACTCATTTTCTGTTAAGCCGTTCCCGTTCCACCTGTGTGTCAGAGAACTTACACAGCACCTGTGAATTTTGAAGCACTTTGTATATCTAGGAGAGTACCAATACCTTTATTTTTCAAGGGCTGGGAAAACCTGAATTAGTTTGCCTGGGCATTGAGCATAGAACCATAGAATGGTTTGTGTTGGAAGGGACCTTGAAGATCATCCCGTGCCCCCCCCTGCCCTGGGCAGGGCCACCTCCCCCCAGCCCAGGTTGCTCCAAGCCCCGTCCAACCTGGCCTTGAACACCTCCAGGGATGGGGCAGCCACAGCTTCTCGGGGCAACCTGCCCCAGGGGCTGACCACCTGCACAACAAATAATTGCTTCCTAATATCTCATCTAAATGTACCTTCTTCCAGTTTAAAGCCATTCCCCCTCGTCCTATCCCCCTACATGCCCTTGTAAAAAGTCCCTCCCCAGCTCTCCTGGAGCCCCTTTAGGTACTGGAAGGCCGCAACAAGGTCTCCAAGCCGGGAGGGTTGGGATGAGAACCTGAATCTGTTGCGGTTTGGCCCGTCAGATTTGTATGCAAAGCAAATGTGGCCTAATCTGAAACATTAAGAATGAAGTGCCTCGCTCTTTCCTGTCCTTTGCTTTGAAACAAAAACGTGATGTTAAGGTAAAACAGACTCAATAAAAAGAAATGCAGCATCCAGCCAATGAAACATTGGTGGTTCATGCTAATAGATACCTAATTGGGTAACTTCATGCTCACTGGGTTTCTGTGTGTTTGTTGTACAAACTGAAGTAAAAGTTGTGCTGTCCCTCCGTAGGGTATTTTAGCAAGTTTTCTAAGTGTAACTTGTTCTTCTTTTCCTTTAGAAGACAGTCCAGCTCCTGAGGTAGGGTATTTTAGCAAGTTGAAGTAAAAGTTGTGCTGTCCCTCCGTAGGGTATTTTAGCAAGTTTTCTAAGTGTAACTTGTTCTTCTTTTCCTTTAGAAGACAGTCCAGCTCCTGAGGCTGTCAAGAGAGTTCAGACAAAGAAAAAGTACTCATTCAAAACCATCGAGCAGAACTTGAATAACATCAATGTGTCGGAGGCTAATCGCAGATGTGAGGTGGGTGGAGGGGGGCTGCTGTAGCAGCTGCGTTCTGGTGGAGGAGAGGAGATGTCGCCTCATCTTTCTCATTTCTATTGTTTTCCTTATTGTGCATTCCTCTTTTGGGCTCTAACGTTCATACACACATCTGTGAATTCTGCTATTATAGCAAGATTGTTCCTAGTCACGTATATTCTTCCTGTGTGAGGCAGCTGCGAGAGCTCTCTCCTCACTAAAAAAGATGTGTCGGTCATTCTCCCTTCAGATCTGTACTTAAAAGTCTCCTGCAGAGACCTGCTTCACCCCCTCCATTTACTCCATTCCTTGATTCTCTGCTTCCTTCCACACCTGTAGATGGATCCCATGTTCCAGAAAACAGCCGCATTTTTTGATGAATGCAGCACAGCTGGCATTTTCCTCACCGGGCTGCGTACCCAAAGCTGCCACAGCGAGCTCCTCTTTGACTCGAAGATCGTGCCTCTCCCTTCTTCAGAGACCCTCACGCTGCCAAACTCTGATCCTGTGAAAGTGATGAATTTAAAGCGTGAGTGCCGGTAACTGCTAAGCGAACGGGCCCATCCAGACCTTTCGATCCTTTTCATCTCCCAAGCATGTTTATTCTAGTCTCAGCCAGCTTGATTTGCACTTTTGTTCACTGCTTGGCTACTCTGTGGCACCATTGCTCTGCTCCTGATCAACTTGAGACTGGAAAAACACGACCTTTGTAGGTTTTAGATCACTATGTGTAGCTTAGCAGACCTGTCACACAGCACGTATACATGGTCTGAGCTGTGCAGCAGTTGAAATTAGTGTGCTCCAGGTTAAGGACTGACCTTCTCAGAGTGTTTTGAGCCTGCATGTACTACAGGCTCTGATAAGATTCCCAGTGTTGTGCCCATTCTCGAGTTAGGGTAGCAACTGAACTCTCCCTTTCTGCTGAGAAATGAGCCTGACTGCTTTTGCAGTGAGCCCTGCACTGCCCTACATGCAAGAAGGGCTGCCTATGTTTGTGGCTTTAAGAATGATTTAATGCCTGGCACTTGTTTTAGCTGCTGGTTGCTTCATCCTATATCTAATCTCTCCCCCCTTGCTCTCTTTGTCTCTAGTCCTACTAGAGCAGTGCATTGAAAAACGCCCCATCTGCTCTTCGCTGGCTGGTTTCCAGTTTACAAAGTGGGATGCTGAATCCCACGATGAGGTACGTTTGTTAGCTCTGTGCCAGGTGGGATACTTGAGCCGGGTGGGATACTCGAGCTGTATTCTCCGCTCACCTCCAAAGCAATCTCTGAGATGCGCAGGGCAGTGGATTGTTGTGCTGTATTTTTTTTTTCTTGAGTGCTTTCTTCTCCTACAGTCAGTGTCAGCCCTGTTGGATAAATTTAGGAAGAGCGACCATGTGTTCGATATCAATGCGGAGATGGAGAGCGATGTGGAAGACTGTGTTCCCACCCTGCCAGATGACGACTTCAATTCTGACTCCCCCAGGAGTACAGCAGCAGGCAAGATTGGGGAATTCACAGAAAACCTCAACTCCTTTGGAATAGTCCACCAGAGCAAGAGGTAATTAGTCACTGAAAAGCTACAGCTTAGCTTTGATAGCAAGCAACAACTTCTAGCAACTGGCTGGGGAATCTTTAGTTTACTTTGTACACGTTTCCCATCCAGCTGTAGCTTGCTTTCTGCTCAAGTTTTGGGTACGTCCAGGAATGCATTACAGTTTTATCTCTACCCACCAAGAGGACCTTTTCATGTAGTCACACTTCCCTGGAGTATTTGCTTGTCTGCTCACTCTGTTCCCCGGTTTCCAGCTTGCCCTTTGGCAAATCCACCTGTGTTTTTGTAGCAGCCTCACGAACTCCAGACAGAGCAACACCCCCAGTACCCTACACTGATTAAAGAGCAGGAGTCCTGCACACGTGCCGGCAGACGGAGCAGGCGATGTCTGTACAAAGTCGATCTGGATGTTAAATGCCCGCTCAGGCCTCGTGTGTACCAAAGGAATGATTTCACTGAGCAGCATGTGTGCTTTTCCCAGAACTGATGCGGTTCCTTTTGGAGGGGGAGACATCAGCACCATGTGCCTTCATCTCTCCGTGAAACCAGGGGAATATTCCTACTTCAGTCCCCGAACTCTGTCCATGTGGGCCGGCCCAGAGCACTGGCGTTTCAAACCTCGACACAAACGTATGTATTTAGAGATGGCAGCTCGTACAGTACACGTGCAGCTACTGCCGGGTCCTGCTTACCTGTGGAGATGGGTGGCACCTGAGTCGCAAAGCAGGGACAGTAAAGAAGGGGACGAGCCTGCGTGGCTCTTTTCTAGCCAGCTGGGAAGCAGTACTGAGTTCGGACAGTAGGAAGGCTCTCAGTCACATGCGGATCCTTTGGTGTCTAACGCATTCTCTATTGTTTTTGTTTGTTAACAATGCTCAGTGTTGACGGGGTGTCTCTCACTGCAGCAGTAGGAGATACTAGCACTAATACAGCTCTGGCTGTTGTTTCCAACCTTCTGCATTAAAACTGAAGATTAAATTACACTTTCAGCTTCTATAAAAAGATACTGATCTCTTTAAAACATGAAGCTGAAAACAACACCTATTGCTTTCCTGTAACAAAGGGAAAAGCCCTTGTAGGTGACCTTTCTGTGTGGAGCAGATGCTCAAGTTAGGAATGAGCTTCTTGTCCTTACTCTGTCACAAAGCACTGACAGTTTCCTTCCTTTCTGCAGCAGATGCCGACTCTGAAAAAGAGACCAAGAAAAGGAGCGTAAAGAAAGCATTTGAAATGAACTTTGATGAGGATATTGACTTTGAGGCATATTTCCGTAAGACCAAAGTACGTGCTGAGTTTCTGCCTCTCTCTGCTTTCTCTTTTGTCATATCGGTGTGTCTTGAAACTCTCGTCTGCAAGTGGCTCATCTCATGCTCCTGTGAAACTGGCTCTGGAAATCCAACATAATGCGTGTTCCTTGGTGCAGGGTCTTCTGGCTCCATGTCACGTTACAAGTAGAGAGTTTTACCAAGCTTGGGGTGGAGAATCAGGCTGAATTCTTCCCTCCTTAGACCCTGTTGGTCAGAGAGACCCTGCAGGCGCAGCTGTGTGTCCCAGGGTGCTGCGCAGAACCCACTGGGTGCACTGGCTTGGACCAGTGTGGAACTCCTTTTCGGAGGCATCTCTGAACTTGCACCTTTTCAAAGACCTGTGTTCAAAGCACTTATTTGTGCCTTATTCTTCCGAGCAGTGGGTAGCTCATAGGTAATGGTATTTATTACCTTCCCCAGGCATCTGTAACTCTAGCCAAATCCATTCTTGAAAGCGAGAATGTGAAGAGCACCACGCTTCCCGCAGACTTCAACTATGACCCCAACAACATTCTCCAGCTGTTCCTCAAACCAGGTCTTAAGGTAAGAGTCTTCTCTAAAAGCCTGTTGGCGATGATTCCATGCACGAAAAAACCCACTGTTCACCAAATGCTCCAAGTCCATCGGGATGTTCCTCGGGGCTGGAGATGGGCCAGCATGTCTCTCACTGAACTGACCTGCTTGCGGATGCCGGAGCAGCTGCGCTTGGCTGTTGTGCTTTACGAAGGGCTTGCTAGAAGGCTGGTATGCGAGGAGGAGGAAGAGGGGAGATGATGAAGGAACAAGGCGCAGGCATTGCTTGGGGAAGTATTTAGGGTTTTTCCTTTCCTGACCCCTGGTCTTGTCTCTGTAGCTCTGCAAGATGTCTGAGCCCGGCAGCTCATTGAATCATGAAGATGAGATCGGCGAGTACGATTACAACAACCCCAATGACACCGCCAATTTCTGTCCTGCGTTGCAGGTAACGGCAACAAGATTTCTTTTTGTTGCCTATATTTGATACGCGATGGAAATAATTTAGGAAGAGTCTTTGTCCTAGGGAGCAAGACTTTTCCTAGGGAAAAAGAATTGGTGCTGCAGATTATGACAAAGCTGTAGGAGCCTCTGCTCTGTCCCCTCACTCTAACGACATCAGCTAAACTCTCTGCCTTTGGTGGTTGCCAGTCAGTTTGCTGCAGAAACTCCATTCCAGCCTTTTCCGTACACATGTGCCCTAAAGTAGGAGCAAATGCCATTGCTCACCTCTGCAGTCGTCTCTCCACAGTGAGATTTGCTCCCAGCTGTTTCGAGCTCCTGTTGAAGCAGATTTTTTCTAAAGCTTTAGCTTTCTGCCAGGCCAGTGCTGCCTCCTGAGTGTGTTTGTGACAAGTCTCAGCTGGTCCCATGCTGGCAGGAGAGCCCTCATCTCTTTTATCTTTCTGTGTAGAACAGTCTTTTGATATTCTGCACTCTATATCTCCCTTGGGTTTAGCCTTGGCTCAGCCTAAGCGCCGTGGGGAGAGGCTGAATGAGAACATGTTCCATGGGGAAGGTGAGCAGGTATTGCCACTCTCCCAAGACGTGGGTGCTCTTGTTATCTGAGTGCAGGACATCTCTGGCTCCTCTAATATGTCTCTGGGTGGCCTCACTGCTGTATCTCTTCTTGATCAGGCTGCAGACAGCGATGATGATGATGACCCCATTCAATTTGTGGGCCAGACGGAGGAGTTCAACCTTACTGCCCACCCTGAGGGTCAAGAGCTCAGGGTTATCGGCGATGTTGATATCACAACGTATGGAGAGCTGAACCTCATTGCAGAGCCCCAGAAGGTAAGGATTTGCATTGTCGCCGAGCTGTGAACTGCTTCCTGGGGAGCTCTGGAGCAAAGCCCCTCAACACCTCAGGTGGTTAGACGTCCTGAAACAGCAGTTTCCATGGGGGAGGATCTCCTGGGTTTGCTACTGGACACTTTATTCCCAGATGAACCCTTGCATAAGAGGAGGGAACTAAAAATCAAAGGTTTAGTAGTAAGCATTCACTGTTGTTCCCAAGGAGAAACATGTTTTGATGATTCCTGTGGTCCTGATTGAGGATAGTGCTCCTGCTTCTGCTCGGTTGCTCTCAACTAACCCTGGACGACTTCTCCTCAGGTCAATAAGATAGCGATGCAGTACGCAAAGACAGCCAAGAAAATGGACATGAAGGGGTTGAAGATAAGCATGTGGGACCTCTTGACTCATGGACACAAGAAAGAAACAGTGGCAGAGGTGAGTGCAGGGTGAGCCAGATACCCCAATAGGCCCGAGGATAAGAGAATGCCCTGCAGGTAACTGTCCTGAACTCCGGCAAAGACAATCTCGGGCAGGTTTAGCAGCAATTCCATTCTAGTGGTCTTGCTCCCGTGGGATGGTTGGCAAGGACAGACCGAGTGAAACTTGCAGTGTTTTTTCTCTGAACACAAGGCTGAATACTGGGGAGCAAAGTCTGTCTCGACAGTGTCTGTCTTTTTGCTAAATAGATGGAAGATGCAGAGAAAGAGGAGGACGTATCAGTGGTAGAAGGAGAGAAGGTCTTCAGCAGCATCACAAAGGAACTGCTTCACAGGTAGAGAGGCCCTAAAAAAGGTTGGACTGAAGCTGGGGGACAGACTTCAGCTACGTTTGGGCAAACGCTGACCCCTCTGTGTCTATTACAACCAGCTAACTGAACCCCAATGGGGAAAAATCTCTTCTCTTGCTCTCTGTGTTTGCCTGGGGGAGCTACAGGTTGCATTCAGCTTGGCAAATTCTTTGCCAGTGGGAGGGAAAAGGTGGAGAAAACCAGATCCCTGGGGAGGAGCTAATCTTTGGTGACCTGGTCATTGCAGGAGTGCTCCATCCGTGAGGTTTCAGTAGACTCCGGCCACCCTGACCTCCTCCCTTCTCTTTTGTAGGCTGCCTTCTGCCATGGCTAAGAATTTGTCTGTCCCTTTAGCCTTCGTCTGCCTCTTGCATTTGGCAAATGAGAAGGTAAGCGCAGCGTGCACACCGGGGACGTGGTTGGAGCAGCGGGTGTATCGCGCAGTGAAAACCAGTGGGAGCAGAGCTGTTCTTGCTACCTCTGGACTTCTCCACTCAAGTCCTAGTTTCGTGCTTACAGTGAACATAAATCAGGCTGATGCGCTGGGAACAACAGCCCGTGGTTAAGCACTCGCAGCATTTCCAGTCTAATGCTGTCTGGCCTTCCTTGTCCTTGGGTCTGGCAGCACTCCGTTGTTCAGTGTCATTCTGAGCATTGTGGGTCTTTCAGGCTCTGAAGCAACAGCTGATGGGAAGCCTTGGTCTTGCGTGCGCCAATGCTGATAGAAGGGGCTGGGGCTGTTAGAACCTTTGTGTGGGTGTTTTGGGTTTTTTTATGCCAGACTCAGAAGGGAAGAGCCTGGCTTTGTCAAAATTCACTTTTCTGTTCCCAGAATCTGAAGCTGGAGGGCACAGAGGACCTGTCTGATGTCCTAGTGAAACAAGGCAACTGAGCCCTGTGCGAAGCAGACCATCGGGGCTGACCCACGGGACAGAGCTCAGCTTCGCAGCTGACCAGCGCTCGCTCTGGACTTAGCAGTGGCAGATTTTTCTCCTCCCAGCACCGCTGCTGAGAAATCCCGCTGGTCTCTGCGCCTCCGGAAAACTTTTAAATCAAGGATGTCCCACCTAAACATAGGACACGTACAGATGGACGGTTGCAGCTCAGCCTGCCATCTTTGACCCATCGGCTCTTTCCTGGGTCGTGGAGTTCCTCCATTTACTGTGAACCGTCAGTGCCTGCGAGTACGCGTCTCCTCTGTGTGTCACCCACTGTCTGCCTGTAATTCCCAGTATGCGGACTGACTGTTACTCCCGTCTCCAGTTCCTCCTGTAGTCCTGTTCATCCCCTGAAATGATTTACCTTTTATACTGAGCTTAAAGATAATAAATTGCTACAGACTTTGTAGATGGGCCTTCGAGATGGGGAAGGAGGAGCCTCCAAAACAGGAGAGGTTAAAACAACACGGCTGTCAGGGAGCAGCGAGAGCAGGACTGCTCCCTACAGAAAGGTGAGCCTGGAGCCGTGGGGGATCGGACAGCCGGAGCATCATCCGTCCTCCCGTGCCTGAATGATGCGAGCAGGACCAACCTGCAGATGGCGGCCAGGTTCGACCAAGAGTTGCGATCACCAAGCAAGTTCATGGTGCTAAGGCAGGTCCAGGATGAAGCCGAGAAGTCAGTCTGCAGGTCAGGATTGGGTCCAAAGCAATGAGGCAGGGAGACCAGTGCTCCCAGCGCAGCTCAGGCAGGGACGGAAGCCCTTGAGCTGAGCTTCAGTGGAGCTCCTGGGCCATGGATGTGGGTCAAGGCCCCTGGTGAGGCTGGTCAAGGCCGTTAGGGCTTATTAATGACCTCAGGGCCCTGACGAGGTGGGTGCTGCTCTGTGCAGGGTGGTGGAGCCTAGACCTGGCTCCAGTGCTGGCCCTGTGCTGCCACCTCTGCCCCCGAGGGCACCTCTGGGCCGGAGGCTGGGAATGGGACCCCCATCCCGGAGATCTGGCCTGAGAGCGCAGGTTGGAGACGCAGGATGGGCGCAAGATGAGGGGTTTGAAGTAAAATAGTCACAAACAGGGACTTTCTTCAAGAAAATATGTATTTATTTCCTTGAGCTGCGATTCAGCTGAGGGGAGATCCGCACGGGATGCGCCACCAACCCCCCTGTGCCCACAGCTTCGAGACCAGTAGGGTGACTTCCCCAAGGGGCTTCTGGGGCCGTTCAGGGTGGCAGCACCTGTGTCACCCCAGTCCTTCCAGCACGGTGAGGGTGGGCTTGAACACACCCACGCCTGCTTCCCCAAGATCCATACCGCATCCCTGGGGCTACTGCCCCTCACCGGTGCATTGAGATCCTTCAGTCCCACCTCCCAGAAGAGCCATGGAACCGGTCCCCGGGCAGCCACGTGCCTCTCACTCCCCAGTAATCCCCACTGTAGTGTCAGGAGGGGAAGTGGAAGCAGCGGGTGATCTTGTTATGCTGTGGGCGCCGTGCAGCCCTCCTCGCCACTGCACCGGCAGTGAGTTCCCCAGTTCCTCCTCCAACATCTGGAGGAGAGAAGCAGTGGTGCCACGGCCTGTGCCTCACGCTGCAAGGGCTTGCGGTGGGGCGAGCGGCCCTCCATCGCATCCCGTGAGCTGGGCCGAGACTGGGAGGAGATGCTTTGGGCTGCGGGACCACTCACCTCCTTGCGGGCAGCCAGTCGTTGCTTCCACTCGCTGAGCTCCATGGCGTGCTCCTGGTCCAACCGCCCCAGCTGCCGCCTCTCCTGCTCTGCCAAGAGGTTCATCTTCTCCCCCTGGGAGAGGGGAGGGGGAAACGGGAAGGAAAATGCTCGAGGAGAGGTAGCAGGGGTGCGGGAAGCCCCCACCAGGGTGGACAGTTTTACGGTGGTCCCCGGTACCTGCATCTGCTCCAGCTCTGCCAGGCTCTCAGCCTGCCGCTGCTGCAGCTGCTGCAACTGCTGCGCCTGCTGCTCCTGCTGCTGCTGCACCTCCGCTCGCTGCCGCTTCTCCTCCTGCTGCGCGAACTGCGGCGGGGGACAGCTCGCGTCACCCTCCCTTTCCCCAAAAGCCATCGCTTACAGCTTTTCGGGGACTTTGTCCATATTTTTTACCGGGGAACCTCGTTGGCCCTGGACAGGTCCTCGTACCTGCTTGGCCTTCTCCCTCTGCTTGGCCCCGTGAGCCTCCTGCATCTTCAGGTTGTCCTTGAAGAGGGCCAGGCGGGTTTTGGCGTCGCAACGCTGGCTTTTCAGCAGCTGAGCCTTCTCCTGCGCTTGCTGGCTCCTCAGATCCTCCAGCAAGAGCTGGTGGAAGCGGTTCATCCTCTCCGTCTCCTGAGAAAGGGGCAGGAGGGTGAGGCAGGAGAGGGGTGAGGAGCCCCCAGAGCTGGGGGACCATCGCCGGGTGGTTCCCACCTCACCTTCTCATGGCGCTTGCGGAGCTGCTGCCTCTGCAACGCGTGCTGCTCCTTCACCTGCTGCCTGAAGAGCTGGTACTTCTCCTGCAGGTGCCCCTGCTCCATGTTCCACACCACCGACTCGCGGGCTGCCGGGCAGGACCACAGCACCGTGACCACCTCCAAACCCACCCCCCCAGCCAGACCTGCTCCCCTCCCCAAGAACCCTCCATCCTCTTCCTCCCAGCCCGGTGCACCTCTCCGGAGGCTGTGGATCTTGCTGATGCACTCCCAGTCGATGGACGTCATCTTCTTCTTGTGCTCCTGGACGATCCTCTGCAGGGCTGCGTTGAGTTCCTCCTGCTGCTGCTGCAGGAACCGCTGCTCCTGCGGTGAGCAACGGAGGGGCTCGGTCCCAGCACCCAGGGGAGATGGTCCCCAGGCTCCTGGTGGCACGGCTGGGGGAGCCAGCACTGCCCTGGACCCTCACCTCTCTCCTATAGCCCTTCAGTTCTTGCATCCTCCTCCCACAGTCCTTCTCCTGGAGGGACTTGAGGCGCTTGGCCTCGTCTCGCAGCCTCGCCGTGTACTCGAGCTCCTGACGCTCCTTCAGCTGCCGGTACCGCCGCTCCGAGCTCTCCACCTCCCGGTCATAAAACTCCTTCTTGCTCTGCCGTGTAGATATGGTTAACAGGGCTGCAAGGACCAGAAGTGGCCACCAAAGCAACCAAACCTCCCCCAGACCCCAGCATCTCCCTCAGTGGGACACCAGCGCCCCCTTGCAAGTGTCCCTCTCTGACCATATCATGGCACCAAGGGAGCACGGTCCGGTTACCGTCATCTCCTGCTCGATGTGACGAAACATCTGCTCCCGCTGCTGGTGAAACTTCTGCTCCAGCTGGCTCTGAGCTCGCTGCTCTTCCTTCTGCAGCACTCGCAGCTCGCGGAGCTCCTGGCGCCTACAGGTTTGGGGAATCGGGGTGAGAGGGGGCCCGAAGGTGACCCTGGAGGTACCTCTCTCTCCCAGCATGGCTGACTTGTAGGTGGCTAAAGGAAGAGAGCCGCTCGGCCCTGGGGCAACATCATGGAGAAGACTTTCTCCAGCAAGAAGGAAGATGGAATACCGGTTGGGTCCATGCCGGCCACACTTCCAAGTTCAGCTGATATTGCTGACCCTCCACCTCCCCTTTCATCCTTTCCTGCCCTCCTTGCGTGACGTGAGAGCTTATGGGAGAAGGTCTTCCCCTCTTCTTTCCTTAAGCTGGCTGCTGGACACACCAGATATGGGGCTGGGCAACATTTTTGGCTCCTTGTGTGTCCCTGCTGCACAGCCCTGAGGATGCAGGGAAGGGCTTGCTCATGTTCTCCTGCTGGAGGAGACCCTGGCCGGGGAGGCAGATGGGTTTTCCAAGCCTGGAGTTCAAGCACTTGTGCTTTGCACAGAGCCCCACAGACCCATCCTCCCTCCTGCATCCTCTCCCCTTCACCCCTGGTCCTCCTTGTCCACAAACGGATGGGAGATGCCTGGTGGCCCCTCCACTACCAGCATCACTCACCGAGCCGAGCGCACCATCTCATCCCTCGCCCCAGCTTTGCCCACGGTCCTGGCGGTCGTCACGCTCACCTCCTCCCCATCCACGACAAACCTCCGGGTTTTCTTCACCGTCCTTTGGAGTGAGGCAGGTTCCTGTGACCAGGACCAACGGTTTGAGCTCAGATGGCCCAAAACTACGTAAACCCAACATGAGAGCCCATGCAAGGGGGAAGGGACAGCTTCACATGGCCACGTTACCTGCAAGGTTCTCACCTGCTGGGCTTCCCTGGCAGAGGGGAAATGCTGCGCTGCTGCAGGGAGGGCGCTTGGACCTTGTACATCTGCAGGGTTTTCCACAGGGGATGACTCCTCTCCTTGCTTTGACGTGCTGGACGGATCTGGTGGGTTCCCTGCTTCCCATGCTGCCCGCGCCTGGGAAGATGTACGGACACGGGCAGCATCAAAGCTCACAGTCTTTGTGGCCTCTGGATGTTCACCAAGGGCCTGCTGGGGCTCTGGCACTGCTCCGTGACCCTCCAAGCTACCCATCTCCTCTCCAGGTCCGTCCCTTGATGGCCATTCAGGAGCTGGAGCAGCCTGCACCCCATCTTCTCCAAGCTCTCCATCATTTCCATCTTGCTCTTTCCAGACATTCCCATGAGTAGGTTCTGGCTGGTTGTCTCTGGGGCTGTTTTCTGCTTTCTCTTCTGTTTCTTCTTCCACAGGCTCTGGGATCTCCATGGGTGATGAATCCTCTGCTGAATTTTGAGCCTCCTCACTTGCAGGTCCTTCTCCTGCACATGCTGCAGAAGCTGCCTCCGGTTCCTCTCCTGCCAGCACCACTTTCCCCAGGCTGGCTGCATCTCCTGCTGGGTCACGGTCTCCAATCAAAGACCCTTTTACAACATCGTCTTCCAGTTTCACTTCTGCTGGCACCAGGGCTTCCTCAGGAGAAGTTTCCACTTCAGTTTCAGCGTTATCTGTGGCTTCCTCCTCATTCCTCCCCACCTCCGACTCAACCAGGTCCAAGGGGTCACACACGGCTGAGTTTCTCTCCCCATTGTTCCTCTCTCCAGCCTCTCCCAGACCAGCTGGGGGCTCCTGCCACTCTCTGAGAACATCTGACCCCACCACTATCTCCTCCATCACATTGGGCATCAGTGATTCTTCACCCCGTGACACCCGCTCCTCCACCAGCTCAGTCTCCCCAACACCCTCAGGTCCCATGGGCGCCCTCCCTGTTCCACCACCATCCTTCCTAAGGCCATCTTCAGCCCCAGTGGAGGCAACCTGAGCCCGCAGGTCTAGCAACGACCGAGTAACCCGGTGCTGATGCTCTGTCAGTGACTTGAAGCTCTGGCTTTTGGTCCCCATGGTCCACAGGTCCAGGGCGGCCACCAGCTGCCCCATGGCTGTGCCTCTGCGCCAGTCCTCGTCCATGGGTGCAGACAAGGCCAGCGAGTTACGAGTAGGGTCTCTGAGTGACTCCTTTTTTGTGTCACTTTTGGGAGTCGGAACGGGGCTCGGTTGGGCTGCAAGCTGTCCCTCCACGGGTGTTTCGGCCACCGGTGACAAGTCAGCATGTTGGCTTTCCTCTTGGGGGTCTACCTTGAGTCCAACCTGCTCTTGCAGTTCAGCAAGATCTCCTGCCCGCTGTGGCCCCGAGGGGACCTCGGCCACGTTGCAGGGAGTCCCCACAGGGCTGGTCTCCTCCTCGTGACACCCTTGAACTTCTCCTGACTCTGCTGGGACTGAGGTTCCTTGAGGAGCATCCAGCGCCGCCATCTCCAACCCACTCAGCTCTGCCCTGTGCTGCTCCTTAGCTGTTTCTTGGGACTTCATCCCTCCAAAAAAAGACCTGCGCCTCATCAGCTTCAGAAACTCAGATGACCTCTTCACAGGGAGCCTCATGGAGCCCACGGGCTCAGGTGAGGACCTCCTCCTCATTTGCTTTAAGAAGTCGGATGCTTTCTTGGTCCTGGGCTCTGCCACCGCCTGGATGTCGGACGGGATGCCCAGCTCCTCACCAACTCTCCCCAACTCTCCATCGGGGGGCTGATGCTCCAGTAGACCCTCCGGGGTTGCGGGGCAGGAGGACTCTCCATGCTCCTGCTCAGGCTGCAGGGTAGACCATAAAGGAAGAGATGAAGCTCAACAAACTCGTGGAAAAGATTGGAGGGATCTTCACCCCCAACCGGCCGCTACTCACGCACCAAAGGGACCGGACCTTCCTCCTCATCCTCTTCCTCCAGCACATCAGCCCGGGCTTCAGCCACCAGCTCCCGGAGTGGCCGCTTGTCGGAGATGCCTGCCACGAAGGGGTGCTGGGTGGGAGTGAGGGAGGTGAGCGAAGCCAGCACCAGGGATGGGTCCCACCACCCTGGGCAGGTGGCAATGGGTGCTACCCACCTGCAGGAGCTGGCTGGCCGACCACCGCGCCTCGGGGCTCTTCTCCAAGGATTTCCTCAGGAAGTCCTTGAAGTCTTCAGACCTGTGGAATGGTCCCCATGAGCACGGGGCCAGAAGCTCCCTGTCACCCCCACTGTGGACCCCACAGACCTCGGGGTGATGCTAGGGACACCCAGGCACCTGCTAGAACCTTGGCAGGTGGTCCCCACCCCCATGCTGCCCACCAGTGACACCTTCATCACACCTACCATCACACCAGCAAAGGTGATGTGATGGGAAACCCATGGTGCCACCTCTGGAGCTGGGTTTGGAGGAATTACGACCCACATCACAAGAGTCCACCACAGCTCCCCAGACACGGCTTTGAGCAGGAGCTGCTCCATGGGAGAGCTTCTCCCACCGTCACCAACGCTGGAATGACTTCTCCCCACTGGGACTCACCACCTCGTGGGGTGACGCAAGGTGGGCGGTTGGGACTTGGTGATCTTCAGCAGCACCCGGAGAGGGTTCAGCTCATGGTAGGGGGGCTCCATCTCGGCCATCTCGATCAACGTGATGCCCAGTGACCAGATGTCAGCCTTGTAGCCGTAGGGGCTCTCCTTGGATGTCTCACACTGCACCACCTCCGGGGCCATCCTGTGCATGGGACAGAGGGGAAGAGGTCCAGCCTGCCCCAGGCCGGAGGTTGGTTTCTCCCCCTGAAACCAAACCCAGGTGCCATCTTCTCTGGAGACAACTCTACAGGCAGAAGAAGTGAGATTTGACCCCAACTCTTCCAACGCTCCCCCAGGAGGGTCTGCACCCACCAGGACCCCACGTGTCCTCTCCATACAGAGTCTCCTGCTACTGAGAAGCCCACCCTGGAGCCGGTGTTGGCTGGAAGAGGAAAGATCTGGTTTCCTGAGATGCTCCTGGTGTTGAGGAACCAGTTGTGAGCATCCACAGGAGAAGCAGGACACCCGGGTTCCCCCATCCCACCTTCCTGTGCTCTCAAATCCCACCAGCCCCAGGGATTTCCACCCCACACCTACCAGTACGGGGTGCCGATGAAGGATACCCGGCGCTGGACGGTGCTGGAGTTTTTGGCTGAGACACCAAAATCGGCTGCAGAGCGGAAAGTGGCGGTTAGAGAGGATCCTCGGGGCAAAGCGTCCTTGGGGGTCCCCTCCTGGCCCCCCTCCACCCCACGGGGCCCCGATTCCCCCGGGACTCACCCAGTTTGACGTCCCCGTCGAGGGTGAGCAGGACGTTGCCAGCCTTCACGTCCCTGTGGATGATCTTGCAGCCGTGCAGGTACTGCAGCGCCAGCAGCAGCTGCTTGCAAACCGCTCGGATCTGCTCCTCCGTCAACCCTTTCTCCAGCTCTGCCATTAGCGCAAACGAACCCCCGCCGCTAACGATGCCTCCTGCCCGGCACCACCAGCAAACCCGGGGAGGGGGGAACCCAGAGGAAGATGTGCCCCAACCCATCCTCCCTCCTGGAGGTGCTGCACAAGCCCAGGACGCCCTTCCACGCCGTGAAATTTGGCAATCCCATCCCAAACGCTCCGGTGGCTGCGCGCCAGCCGGAAAAAAAGACATTTATTTACCCAAAATCGCTGCATCCACGGCTCCTCCGGGACAAAACTCCACCAGGATCTGCAGGGAGAGGTTTTCCACCGCCGGTCTGAAAATGTGTCCCCTCCAGACCGAGTTCCCCCAGCCCCAAGATGCCGGTGGGACCCCAGTTGATGCCCGGAGTTGGGGGGGACCGGCACCCTCCGCAGCTCACCCAGAGCTGCCCGTTCCAGTAGAGTGCGTCCAGCAGTTTGGTGATGTTGGGGTGGTCGCAGCAAGCCAAGATCTCAATCTCCACCACGTAGTCCTCCAGCTCCTCCTCGCTCGGGGTCTCGATCACTTTGGCGGCCGCCAACGCTCCCGTCACCTTGTTCTGCGCCTGGGGGGGGAGGAAGAGGTTTCGCGGGGGCTCGTGGGGTACAAACAGAGCAGTCCCCCAATTTCTGGCGAGGGGGAAGCTTGGACTCGTCGCATCCCTCCCCGGGGACAGACATGGGGACCTCACTGTCACCAGAGACAGGAAGGAGAGGGATGTGTGGCCACCCCATGGAGGGCTGATGGTGGCCCTGGTGTGGCCATTGTATCCATCCCGCTGTATCCCAAAACCCTCTGTGTGGGTCCCGGAGCATCCCACTGCATCCCACAACCTTCTGCCCCCACTGTGGCCATGCTACCCAATGTGTGGGTCCCAGAGCATCCCGCTGCATCCCAAAACCTTCTGCCCCTGCTGTGGCCATGCCAGCCTTGGTGTGGATCCCGGAGCACCCCACTGTATCCCAAACCCCTCTGTGTGGGTCCCGGAGCATCCCATTGCATCCCAAACCCCTCTGCGTGGGTCCTGGAGCATCCCGCTGTATCCCAAACCCCTCTGCGTGGGTCCCGGAGCATCCCGCTGTATCCCAAACCCCTCTGCGTGGGTCCCGGAGCATCCCGCTGTATCCCAAACCCCTCTGCGTGGGTCCCGGAGCATCCCGCTGTATCCCAAACCCCTCTGCGTGGGTCCCAGAGCATCCCGCTGTATCCCAAACCCCTCTGTGTGGGTCCCAGAGCATCCCGCTGCATCCCAAAACCTTCTGCCCCTGCTGTGGCCATGCCAGCCTTGGTGTGGATCCCGGAGCACCCCACTGTATCCCAAACCCCTCTGTGTGGGTCCCGGAGCATCCCATTGCATCCCAAACCCCTCTGCGTGGGTCCTGGAGCATCCCGCTGTATCCCAAACCCCTCTGCGTGGGTCCTGGAGCATCCTGCTGTATCCCAAACCCCTCTGTGTGGGTCCCAGAGCATCCCGCTGCATCCCAAAACCTTCTGCCCCTGCTGTGGCCATGCCAGCCTTGGTGTGGATCCCGGAGCACCCCACTGTATCCCAAACCCCTCTGTGTGGGTCCCAGAGCATCCCGCTGCATCCCAAAACCTTCTGCCCCTGCTGTGGCCATGCCAGCCTTGGTGTGGATCCCGGAGCACCCCGCTGTATCCCAAACCCCTCTGCGTGGGTCCCGGAGCATCTCGGGGCATCCCAAAACCTTCTGTCCCCGCTGTGGCCGTGCCACCTTGTGTGTGGGTCCCAGAGCATCCCACTGTATCCCAAACCCTTCTGCCCCTGCTGTGGCCATGCCAGCCTTGGTGTGGATCCCGGCGCCCCCCACTGTATCCCAAATGCTTCTGCGTGCGTTCCGTAGCATCCCGCTGTATCCCATAGCCCTCTGCGTGGGTTCCGGAGCATCCCGCTGAATCCCATAGCCCTCTGCGTGGGTTCCGGAGCATCCCGCTGTATCCCAAACCCCTCTGCGTGGGACCCGGAGCACCCCACTGTATCCCAAATGCTTCTGCGTGGGTTCCGGAGCATCCCGCTGTATCCCAAACCCCTCTGCATGGGTCCCGGAGCATCTCGTGGCATCCCAAAACCTTCTGTCCCCGCTGTGGCCGTGCCACCTTGTGTGTGGGTCCCAGAGCATCCCACTGTATCCCAAACCCTTCTGCCCCTGGTAGGGCCATGCCACCCTCCGTGTGTGTCCCAGAACATCCCGCCGTACCCCAAAAACTCTCCGTCAAGCTACATCCTCCCATGAATGCCATCCAGCTCCCACGGGCACAGCCACAGGGAGCATCGGCACAGGGGCCTCAGCAAACCCACCCCCAAGGACCTTCTTTTGCTGGTTCCACAGCGGAACCCCATCCCACGCGGGACGCCGAGACATTCGGCCATCCCGAAAAAGCCCCGGAGAGAAGAGGGGACGGGTTTGGCCAGAGAAAGCCCAACCGGGCCCGGGACCATCACCGCCGTGCGCCCATCAGCCCCGGTGCCGGAAGGCGGCTGCTGCCGCGGGTCTGAAGAGCGGCGAATTTGGGTTTCCTGTCGCGCTCAGGCTCTGCACAGAGGTTGCAGAGAAAAACATCTCCGTCTCAACCCCATCGCTCCAACCGAGGAGGCAAATGCCCACCGGCAACGTGGCCGGCTCCGGTACCCGGTGGCTCTCCCGGTGCCGAAAGTTGGGGGACATGCTGAGCCAGCCCCAGGCGAGGACGCTGCCATCCTCGACTAGAAATTTGGGGCTGGTTAGAAGCTTTTTCGCTTCTCGCGTGCCGGAAGCTGCACAGTGCGAGGGAGGCAGCACCCAAAAAAGACCCCCCAAAAAAAAAAATAAAAAATTTGCAAAACCCTTGGGGCGCCGGCGGGGTTTTAGGGGGGGGTTCTCCTACCTTGAAGACTTTACCGAAGGCGCCGTCGCCCAGTTCGCCCAGCACCAGCCAGACCTCCTCGGGGTCCACGTCCCTCCTGACATGCTCGTACCGCCTTGGCGGCTTCTTTTTTTCCGAAAAGCCAAAAAGCCGTCGGAGAAAAGCCATGGGGCCACCTCCATGCAGAGAAAAGGGGGCGGCTGAGCTCGAGCTCTTCCACAGAGCACCTTCGCAGCTCTTGTCATTAAATAATTGATGTTACAGACCATTAGAATTAATTCTTTCTCTAGGACAGTTAACGCCACCTTTAATACAACCAGAGAGACTGTCAGTTGGGGAAAGAGAAGTGGATACAGAAGTTGTTCCTTCTTTTTCTGTACTTCTAATGACTGGTTATGAAGGTTGCGTGGCTGTCCATGGGACTGAGAAATTTGAAAAGCCAAATCTTAACTCCTTAATATTGTATGACATCAAGATAACTCTTTTAGCTTTCTAGGCCCATTTATTCCCTCAAAATGAATCAAACACTTCTCCCATTATCTAAATCTCTTATTCTTGAACAGGTTATAGTCAATGAGACTTAACAGTTCTGACAGAGCACTGAGCTTTTTTTTGCCTCTAGCCTGAATCCTGCTCAGCTCAAATGTTTTTCTGTGGTTATGTTTTTTTTCAGTGATGTGTTTTCCAGTGATCTTTAATGACTTAGCTGTTAGATGGGATCAGTTCTGAATTCTACTTTCATTATCATAAAATTGTTTCCATGCTTTCTACAAATATTCAGATTAAACAATGAGATTAAAAAATGCAGGTGTTAACAGGCTAAAATCTTTCTGATCTCCTTGGGGAAAATGCTGATGAAGGCTTGAAACGTGCAAACTAGAATAGTCAGCAAAAGTGCTCTCCATTTTAAAATTCGCACTGCATAGAAAAACATCCACAAATAAGTGTCTGCAACCAACTAGTGAAGAAAGCAGCTATATCACCCAGAAGCAGGCGAGCTCTCTACCAGGGGAAGCTTGATTCCTCTCTACTCACGGCATTTTGTGAGGGGTTTATGAATGCAGGAATCCTGGTCATTCAGCCTCAGCTACAGAATTTCAAGCATTTTACGTAGCGTGGACAAGGCTCCATTTCTGTCCCCCCCCCGTGGGATAACGACCCCTCCTCTCGCCGCAGGTTGTGCCCCAAAGGGCTGTGGGTGCTGTGCTGGTGCTGCCGAATCCGGCGCCGTCCCCAGCGGCTGGGCTTTCATTTTTCGGCTCTTTTCTCTCTTTCTCCTCCTTTTCTATTTTCTCCTTCTCTTTCTTTTCCTTTCCCTTATTTCCCTTTTCCCCTCTCCTCCTTCTCCTTCTCCTTCTCCTTCTCTTTCTCCTTCTCCTTCTCCTTCTCCTTCTCTTTCTCCTTCTCCTTCTCCTTCTCCTTCTCTTTCTCCTTCTCCTTCTCCTTCTCCTTCTCTTTCTCCTTCTCCTTCTCCTTCTCCTTCTCTTTCTCCTTCTCCTTCTCCTTCTCCTTCTCTTTCTCCTTCTCCTTCTCCTTCTCCTTCTCTTTCTCCTTCTCCTTCTCCTTCTCCTTCTCTTTCTCCTTCTCCTTCTCCTTCTCCTTCTCTTTCTCCTTCTCCTTCTCCTTCTCCTTCTCTTTCTCCTTCTCCTTCTCCTTCTCCTTCTTCTCCTTCTCCTTCTCTTCTCCTTCTCCTCCTTCTCCTTCTCCTTCTCCTTCTCCTTCCCCTTTTCTGTTTCCTGTTCCATTTGCTTCTCCTTTTCCTTCTTCTACTTCTTCTTCTCCTTCTCTCCATCTCCTTTTCCTTTTCCTTCTCCTCCTTTCCCCTTTCCTCCTTCTTTTCCTTCCCCTTTTCCGTCTCCCCTACTTGCTTCACCTTTTCCTTCTTCTATTTCTCCTCCTTTTCCTCCATCTCCTTCTCCTCCTTTTCTTTTTCCTTCTCCTCCTTTTTCTTTTCCCTCTTCTCCTTTTCCTTTTCCCTTTCCTCCTTCTTTTCCTTCCCCTCTTCCTTCTCCTTTTCTGCTCCCTTCTCCATTTGCTTCTCCTTTTCCTTCTATCCTTCTTCTTTTCTTTTTCCTCCATCTCCTTCCCCTCCCTTTCCTTTTCCTTCTCATCCTTTTCCTTCTCCTTTTCCTTCTCCTTCTTTTCCTCCCTCTCCTTCGCCTTTTCTGTCTCCTTCTCCATTCACTTTTCCCTTTCCTCCTTCTTCTTTTCCTTTTCCTCCATCTCCTTTACCTCCTTCTCCTCTTCCTTTTCCTTTTCCTCCATCTCCTTTACCTCCTTCTCCTCTTCCTTTTCCTTTTCCTCCCTCTCCTTCCCCATTTCCTTCTCCTTCTCCCTGTCGGGCAGTGGCCGGCACTGGGCTTTACCCACTGGCTGAGCCCCGACGCCTTTCAGTGCACTGATGAACACCATCACCCCTCAATAACTCCCCTTTTCCTCCCACATCTCTTCCACGGGATTAAAAATGACCCCCCCCCCCCTGGGGGAGAAGCTTTTCCTCACACTCCCGTTGGAGCGGAGCCCCGCGGGGGCCGAATCCCACCCCGGGGGTGCTCAGCCCCCCCTCCCCGACAGCCTGAAATCCCGCATTTTCCCAGCCAGGCGAGCAGAGGCGATGGCGACGGCGAATCCCACCCACGCAGCTGCCGGGCGCAGGGGGAAACTGAGGCA